AATTGCGATCTGGCAAATGAGATTCGTGAGAACCTTTATGTTGACAACCTAATACTTTCAGGAAATACCTTTGAAGAGATAGCCTCCAAGTCCCAAGAAGCGCGCAAAATTTTTCAAGGCATGAATATGAATTTGCGCGAATTTTTATCGAATGGGTCACAACTGCAGGAGTTACTCCCCGATAAGGTTTACTCCAGTAACCCCTCACAAAAGGTGCTAGGTATCATTTGGGATTCACTCGGAGACACTATTTGCCAAGCTTGCAATTTTCCGCCCACCCATACTATCACCAAGCGTACCATAAGTAGGCAAATAGCTTCAATTTATGACCCTTTGGGGTGGATGGTTCCTTTAGTGGTACGAGCAAAACATTTTCAGCAACAACTGTGGGTTGAGGGGTATGGGTGGGATGAAGAGCTGTCGGAACAGCATAAGCTACAATGGGAGCAAATAGTTCTGCAAACGGATGGATTTTCGCGACTCTGTCCCAGATTCATTCCAGGAACATCCCAGTGTCAAATTGTTATCTTTTCGGACGCGAGCGAAATGGCAATGTCCACGTGCGCTTATTTAGTAGCAAATAATGTGAGCACTTTGTTAATGGCTAAATCGAAATTGCCTTCCATAAAGTCAAAAATGACCATACCAAAAATGGAAATAAATGCGCTAACAATGGGGACTCGACTGGCGATGTCGATACTTAAAGCGATGCATCGGATTCTCGATATTAAAGAGGTTGTACTCTTTTCCGATTCACAAATTGCGCGTGGGTGGATACGGAAAGCAAAGAATCAAAACGATCCTGGTGTTTTAGTAACAAACAGGATTAAAGAAATTGAATCGATCATCGCAGACATTAATGAGATGGGACCAAACGTTCGATTTGGTTACATCACGACAGAGGAAAATCCTGCAGACGCCGGTACGAGAGGTCTGTCAAAAGAGCAGATAACAGACCACATATGGTGGACGGGTCCTAGGTTTCTATCCGCACCACACGACGATTGGAAGCAATCACTTTTTGAGATCTCTCGTGAAAACACTTCGATAGTTAATGTATCGAGCACAGTCGCAAGCGAAGAATACTTTCCCTGGGAGCGTCACAGTACTTTGATAAAAGCGCAGCGAACTGTGTCGTGGGTCCTCAGATTCTTAAGGAATACCATGCGTCGAATACCCAGCGATAGAATGCAGAAGATAACAGAAAATATTCCTGAGCTAGGTGAGGTCCCGATAAGTTCAAGTAATACAATAAATGGGATAGAAATGCGATGCGCAAAGTTAGCGCTCATTCGGATACATCAAAAAAGCTGGCCTCAGGAGTACCTCAACTCGATGGAGAATACGTTGAAATTATTCAAAGATGACAAAAATATATGGCGGGCAAGGGGACGATTGGGACTAACTACCCTGGAAGAAAAGATCAAGTTTCCAATCCTTATCGCACCGGGATCGGGTATAGCACAAGCTATTATAAGCCAGGCACACGGAAAATACCATTGTAGCATCCCACAGACCATATGCAATGTACGCCAGGCGTACTGGATTCCACGTTTACGTCAGCAGGTTCGCAAACTAATAAGTCACTGTGTGCGATGCAAACGATTCAATGGGTCCCCTTATAAATACCCACCCATGCCTGACTTACCACTTCATCGAGTACGAGAATGTCATCCATTTCAGTATAGTGGCCTAGACTTTTTTGATTTACCAGAAGTTCGCGAACAACAGACGCTCTTTAAGGTATATGGATGCATTTTTACATGCGCAGTAACTCGTTTAATTCACATCGCGATTACTCGCAACATGAGTACAGAGGCATTCCTCAACGCGATGCGCAGATTTTTTGCGAGAAGGGGAGTTCCGGAATCTATAAATTGCGATAATGCGCCAACCTTCCTTTTAAGCGCAAAAATTTTGAAGGACGCAAAAGATATGCCGGATTTTATAGCGCAAATCCCAGAAATCGCCAATAGAGCAATTGAATGGAATTATAACACCCCTTATGCACCATGGCAAGGGGGATTCTATGAGCGATTAATTCGGTGCATAAAACATTCGCTATATAAGGCTATTGGGCGTGAGAGGCTAACGTTTGACGAGCTTCAAACAGTTATGACAGAAATAAGCAACCCTTAACTGTAGACCTCTTACATACCAAGAATGCGAGTTGCAAAACCCGGTGGCCCTGCGCCCTATCGATTTCATCCAGAAGGATATAATTATTACATATCCACTTGAGCGCATATATTCTGAAGATGACGATCCAGAATTCAAACCCGCAACGGTATCAGCTGCACTGAGGACTAGACATGAAGCAGAACAAGCTCTGCGTTCTTCGGTTTTTCTGACTCAGCGATTTTGGAAAATTTAGAAAGACCAGTACTTAGTGAATTTACGAGAATATCATCGGAAATGGATTAATTCGAATAAAAGTTCTGCCTCTACACCTCAAAAGAATGCGATCGTGCTGGTCACAGACCCTGTTCTACCTAGAAATTTATGGAAAATGGCGCGCATAGTAGGAACGAAAGTAGGCAGAGATGGCGCAATCCGCGAGGTAGAGCTGTTAACAGGATCAGGCAGAACCATAAAGAGACCTATTAACATGGTTGTTCCTTTAGAATTGGACCACGCAGAAGAAGAAATCGAGGAAACAGGACTTCCAGATCAAGTCCAACAGAGTACTACTGATCAAGGGACGTCTTCGTATAAATTGCGCCTAAGGAAGCAAGTAAGTTGTACGAACCCTCCCAATGATTCTGCCGCTACTTATTCTGAGTTGGGGACTATACCTCAATGTGGAAGTTAGATGCGCTTCTTTGACATCAAGCGCTTTGAGTATGCGATGTCATGACAAAGGTATTCTTGTGCAATCAGATTTAGTTCAAGAGTTTGAAATTTGTGTAGAGGCGCAATGTCAGACATACGCGGATCCCTCTCAATGGGAGGTAGTACGATTCCCCCCTGAACTCACACTTCATGAACATAGTGCTTTCATCAAATGGAAAACGAATGCCACTGTGTCCACAATGGAGATAACATGTAAGGGCTTGCAATTTTGTGATAATTTACAATGTTGGCTATGTTCCGCGGCGATCCTTAACCCTGAATGCTGGCAAACAGGAGCGCTTATAGGAATTGCTATCATAATATACTTACTCGTTGCATGCCTGTACTTGTTGCTTTATGTACCTTTAACGATTGGGAAACCCGTACGGTTGATATTCCACGGACTTCTTGTTCTGACTTACAACGTTGTGCGACTAGTTTACCACGGTGGAAGATATCTGATTCGATCTTGGAGACGAACGAGACTTACAGTAAGACAGCGCCGTCTAGCACTTGCTTTGTCCCTTGCGACCATTTGGCTTACGGTTGTCAAGAAGTAAATGTCTTCAGTGAATCCAGCACTCAGTGCCTATCTTCCCCAAAAGGTGAATCATGTCACATACAGGTATCGGAGGTAATTAAGCTTAACACGTTCCAACAAGAAACCTGCCTGCGACTATACCTTAACGATACCTTCGTAGCGCTCATAAGATTGCACTGGAAACGGTTATTAATGTATTGCGATCACGAATCGCTTACTTTCACGAGGGATACAGAGATTCGTGTCCTAGACAGCAAACGATGCGCTTTGATGGGACTGTGCAAAGGATCCAACTGTGCTAATGTAAAACCCTCGGACCTGATCGATGATTTGGAAGCAGCAAATTCCTATCCAGGCAGAACAGGCTGTTTAGAATCCTGCGGTGGATTAGGATGCGGGTGCGTTCTACCTAGTGCAGCGTGCCTATTCTACAGAGTATATGCGATCCCAAAAAGCGATCATATCTACGAAATTTCCCGCTGCAATACATGGAAGGAGGAAGTGAAACTCGAATTAGGCGCAAAAATTGCGAACCAGAACGTCAGTTATATCATAGCAGTGGCTCCAAATGTGCCTATTGCAATAGGCGACTTTGAAATCACTATGACATTATTAACTCTTCCTCCATTACCTCTTCTTAACGAATACTTTATCTCAACTGGAAATGAGGTTGCGATCTGGCGAAATAAGAAATACCCAAACCTGCGATGCAAATCTTGGGAATTAGCGAAAAACTTATCTTGTACCTTGTACGATAACTGTATTTGTAATGCAGCAGAAACGAAGGTCAAGTGCAAATGCGAAGAGATTTCTATTAAGGAGGAATTTGAAACCTTAGCGCTGAAGCTACCAGTGAGCAGGCCAGAAATGCGATTTTTTACCATAAACTCTACGCGAGTAATAGCGCAAATAAATACCCCAGCATCAGGTGAATTCATTTTGCGCTTTAAAGGGCGAGTTAATAGGGTAATAGAGCAAATAGACGATTTCAAATGCTCAATCGCAGATAGTACGATGCAAGGATGTTACCGGTGTGCGAAAGGCGCGGTAGCAACAGTCCAATGTTACGCAAGCCATTACACTTTGGGACAAATCCACTGCGACAGAGATATCTTCGTAGTCCCTTGTTCCCCCCAGAAGCCTACCGCTGTTTTACGGTTTCATCGCAACACGGCAAGACACCATGCAAATTGCTCTTTGAAATGTGGCACAAATACTTATTTTGCAATAATGGGTATATTAAAATATGCACACCCAATTTCCGATCCCATTGTGAGCTATCTCAAAGGCAATAGTAGCGAAGCCGTCTCATGGGAATGGCCAGATATCTCACATATAACGAATATTTTATTCTCGTACTTCCATACCATCATCATTCTCGCAATTGTAGTGGCGCTGGCTGTGGGGTTAACTTATCTATATTTACCAGTCTTACTTGCCGGCAATGAGAATGGTAATTAGAAGCGCTACCTTCCTCTTAATAAAGTTACCCTTTCGTATACTGCGAGCAATTGTTCAAATTCTGTGCAATAGGGCAAAAAGCAAGATGCGCCGACAAGAGAAACTGTCTAAGTTTACAGAAAAACTCTCTTGAATTTCAGACCGTTTACATCACTGCGCGACTGAGATGGACGACAAATTCAAAAAACTCCGTTCAGAGCTTCGATCAATTCGCAGCGAGCTGCATAATGTAAAGTCAAAATTGCAAAAGCTGAAGAATTCGTTGCCAGCTTTTCCTTCTCCTGAAATTCTCTATCACAAGATTGTAGAGACCGTGCGTGACGTTATGTTTTGCATTGGTATACTTGATAACATTCATAAGGATGTATGTCTTGTTGATAACCCCTCTGAGGAGGATGGGGCTGATTGGGAAGCAAGGGTGCAAATTCTTGAAGCGAAAACAGAGAACTGTGAGATGCAATTTTGCCTATTGCGCCTTACGCTGCGAACCCTTTATGCGATACCACCAGTGCTAATTGCGACAAACGAAATTTCGGAAAGCGCATGGGAGGCGATGATGACCCAGCCGCAGAGTTATTATCGAGAAGATAAAAAATATCCCCTACCGATAGAACTCGATGTGGTCGAAAACATCATTCAAGACCAGTTGAAATCAGCTAAAGATGTCCTTGGCTCCCTACGTGCAATGCGATCAAAATTACTTGAGGACGAACGACTAAGCAGAAAGCACCTCGAGGAAACAGTTCTGGAAACCATGAAATCCATTGAAAGCAAACTGCAGGAACTAAAGGAAGCCAGCGAAAAAGCCAACCAGAACCCTTCAAGTGAGGAGGGGGAAGCTGATGCACCATGGCATCAAGAGCAGGAGGCGATCAGAGCCAACGCTGACTACATGGAGGGGCTGATAGTGGACGATGAAGAAAGTCTCGAGGAACTTACTCGAAAGCAACAGGAGTTAGACGACCAGATATTCTGTTTGAGGAACCGCATCGAGCTGTTGGAGCGCGAACAACCGTGTTTTCCGCGTTCCTTCCTTGGCCTGATACTCCGTTCCGAAGAAAAGAACATGCGATGTGTTTTTTGCAATGTTCCAGGGGAACATTACAGCGATTCGTGCCCGTCTTTAGGCGATGGAGAAAGCCGACGCGCCGCGGCCAAACAGAGTAATCGGTGTTTTTTGTGCCTTGAATGGTGGTGTTCCAGAGGAGCGTCCTGCCCAAAAAACAAAAGCCGATGCTTCCACTGTGGAAAATCGGACCACCACTCTGCACTGTGTTGCTTACCTGACGTCGCCAGCAAAATTCAAAAGGAGATCGATCCCTTGAAGCACGAACTCTTCAAAAAACAAAGGCAGCGCGATGAACTCCGCAAGAAAATCGACCTGTTCAACATAGAGCCATGACTCACCCTTTGGCCCGGGCGGAGTGTCGCTGTTAGCGAGTAAAATATGCGAAAAATCTAGACGCGAACCGTTCAATGCTTATAAACATAGCGATTTCCCATGCGAGCGGCGAAGCGAGCAGCGCAAAATCATAGCGATTGACATGAGATAAGGGAAAAATGCACCTCACGAGTTCACATATAAAAAAGGGGCAACTTCCCTTAGATCAGCCTTCTTTTTCACATCTTTGATTCTTTGGGTCTCGATTGTGTGGGGATTGTTTAATCCATTCACTTTCAGGAAGTTATTTTGTGTGTTTTAATTGTGTTTCATAGTCGAGGAATAAATTATTCCTGAGTTATTCGTACCGCGTGGCAAGAGCATTTTTACACACTTGAAGTCAACAGCTATTGTGTTGAATTCGTCCTGATATAGTGCAGTTTCCGAACTTTACACACACCATATTTGAAAAAAAAATCGTACTTTTCAAGAATGGTTTTCGACTTCAGAAAACTGTGCATACTGTATTCTACAAAAGATTTTGATATATTATATAAATTTCAGGTCTTTTCGTTGTTCATTGGTAGCGATAAATCGAAAACACAAAAGCTTCCAAACTTTTGACCGCTACTGTATATTACTACAGATCTCTGCCGTTTAGCCACCAAAATTCCGACACAGGGGAGAGAGGTGCCATCACAGAGTGAGCTTCTGAGACAAATCAGAAATCAAAGAACATGAAAAGAAAATGACAGGAAGTTTTCAGGATTGTTGGGTAAAGCCTTAATCAGAAAACTTGGCACAGAATGTCGAATTTCAGATGAGGAGTGAAACGCACGCCAGACCTTGAAAAAATCTTTTAAATGTGCACGTGTGATACGCTCAATCTCAAGGAGGAGTTCGATCGGAAATAGTTCCTACTACGAACAGGATCTAGGAATTCGTAGAAGATGGATCACACAATATGGATGAATACCGATTGTCGTCAGAACGCAAATGGACGAGATTGTGGAGTTCTACGGGAATGATTGCATGCCGATTACGTCCAAGCAGAAATGGAAAAAGATTAAACGATATGAATCGAATACGTATCGATCGTTTCTCTCTCAAGCTCTAACAAAACGCAGTATGTAAGATAGAAGTATGGTTTTGTAATGGATGTGATATTAAGCACTGAACAAAGGAAGCTGAATGAAATGCCCCATCAAAAGCACGTAATACAGGCAACTTTCAGTTCAACAGTACTGCAATAAAGTGCAACAGACACTCACCTGGCCGTCAATGTCTCTTGTACTAACTGGTTCACACGGACAGCATGCCGTCGTTCCATTTGTTTTTTCTCGCGTTCATATGCTTCGGCCGTTTCACGTTCTCGCAACATCAGACGATGACTGTCGGACAGTGAAGCCTGTTTTACGTTAAGTACTTCGATCTGAAAGAACGCTAGCAATCGCAGGAAATATCAGTAAGCAATAGAGGAGCAAGAAGGATTTACGATCGTTTCAGAACGATTGTCATACTTTCTCCACCCTTTCCTTATCAATCGGACTATGCACCTCTTTTATTCGCTCTCGCAGCTCCTCCAAATGCCGCTCTTTCTCATCTCGCTCCTTTAGTGCGGCTCGTAATTCACTTTTCAGCTCACTGATTTCCTGAAATTTCGAATTTTGAGATTGAATCCGATGAAAAAAGACCAGAAAACCTTGCCTTATTTCGCCGTTGCGTTGGTGTGAGATATTCGCCCAAATCGCCATGATTGTGATTGCAACCACGTTTCTGGCAGTGAGGCACATACCTGTGAACGAACCCGTAGAAATGCTGTGTAGATTACGGGCAAAACTTTTACCTACCAGAAACCAAGCAAAAATTAATATCTATGAATGGTTTTTGCTTCATATTTTAAGCGTTATGATCACAACAGTAAGATTTGGCAGTCCTTAGGGCTGATCTTAGTTTGTCTACTCGCTTCGAATATTTTTGTACTTTTTCGTAATCTATGAAGTACAGACACTTCGTGTACCTTTGTTTGCTAATCGCATTTTTTTCGTTGATGTGTTCATTTTCACTACTTCTTACTGTTGCGCGTGAAAGCATTTGCGCCTTCTAAGAAATAAACAAACAACTAACGAGGGCAAGTAGTACATTCGAACTATCAAATCTACAGGCGCGAACAGCATGAAAAATCAACAAAACTGTAGTAGCAGAGAGAAATCTCATGAGGAAGTCGATTAGTAACCAACCAGAACACATGCATATTGTTTTTGTTTGTTAACTGCTGTTTTTGGCCGCAGTTCGCCTTGCGAATGTTTCACAAGAATGCTGGGTTGTGAACAAAACTTTCGCCCCAGGCGGGACTAGAACCCGCACCTCTCGCTTTCCGGGCAAGTGCGCTACCAGTTACGCTACCGGGGCACCATTTCATCCCAACTCAGCTTTTCATGGTATACGTACCATAGCTTTCAGCACTCACACGTATAACGTGTTGAGCCGGTTAGCCGATATCGGCAGTGAACCGCAAGCTGAAAGCTTCATTCAATTTGTTTTTGATCGTTAATATGGTGTAATAACTATACCATGAGAAGCTGAGTTGGGATGAAATGGTGCCCCGGTAGCGTAACTTGTAGCGCACTTGCCCGGAAAGCAAGAGGTGGGGTTGGTCTCCGGAGGAATAGTTTTGTTCACAACCTCACCATTCTTGTGAAAAATATTTATATTGTATATTCGATATGCTCGATATTCGAATGTCGCTGTTTTCGCATTTTCTTGAAACATTTAGAACAGTCACAATTTTTCGCGTTTTTATTGAAATTTTTTTCAGTTTGATTCCTTGAAAGTTGGTGTGGCTCACACAAAACACCGCCTTCCAGCCTGAAAATTTTCATGCTTCAGAAAAAAATTTCAAAATTGCATCTGGTGAGATTTTTTCAGTATGAGGGACGGTGTTGCGTTTCTGAAGACTGAGGATGCTTTCGTGCGTTGATAATCCTTTGGCGCCGCTCAAATGTGCAGAAGTACACATAGTTGAGGCATTGTTGGCCCTCACTTACTCGATTCACTTCTTTTGTCAACTTAGTTGCTCTGAATTTTGAGATCGTGTTCTCATTTCCATTTCTAATATTGCCTTACACAGAGTACAAATAAATAAATCAATCAAAACCACGTGTCATTTCCTCAATTAAGTGATAACTCGGCTTATATGGGATCGAACTTCGAAAACCCCGAACAAACCACGTACGATATCGACATTTAAATCATCTGCACCAGGGTGAAATCGCTTGAGGATTCCTCAACCAGAGTCAACCCTGCGTTGCGCAGTTCGCAACGGCACGTTGAGAGATCCTCAACGCACGCTGTATGGGCGGAGACACAGACGGCTCGAGCATGCGAGTGTGAATGTTCGCGCGAGAGAACGTGTCTAATCGGGCGAAACTGCGCAACGTGGCCGTTGAGAACTGCGCAACGCAGGGTTGACTCTTCCTCAACGGCACGTCGAGGATTCTCTGCCCGATCAGACACGATCTCGCGCGGACATTCACACTCGCCATGGGCGTGCCGTCTGTGCTCTCCGCGCGGATGTTCACTCTCGGCACTACTCTCGCATGGTAGAGAGCTATGGTCGAGGAAATCCTCGACCGTTATTCACCCTGCTTCACTGGCCCTAATTGAGCTTCGGGATAGCAAGAAGAGAAGGTCTAGGATTGGTCGTCTTACGTACAACCCATTAGAAAAATGTCGTGCGTGCCGCGTTCGTACTTTACGCGATCA